GAGGTACTCTTTAAGGTGATGCTGGGGGTCCAAAAGACCCCCAGTGTCACCTTTACACTGGAAATAAGCTATTGAAGTGCAGATCGCACTTCAATAGCTTATAGCTGGGCTGCAGGAGCCCAGAACTGACAGCCCAGGGACCGGAAGTGATGCAATCTGCATCGCTCCCGGTCCCATAGAATGGGGAGGGGATCGATGAACGGAAGTTCGTTGACCTCCTGTCCAGCTCCCCGCGGACACCACGGACACCGGTCCCGGGCCCGTAGGAGGGGCAACGGAGCCCAGGAAGCAGGTCGGCGATGTCCGGAGGGGGACACCGTACACTGTACGTCGTCAGTCACGAAGGGGAACATTTTAGAAATTTCCCCTTGCAATGTCACCTGGTATAAAGGGCTGCTTATTTTGATGAATGTTGGTGAAATCAAAATCAGAAATTCCGACAAAATTAAGATCGGCAAAACCACCCACTTATCCCTATATATATTCATCTTTTCCATGAGTGAATGCGGTTTATAGATGATGTAAATTATATATAAGTAATGTAATATTATAGCAGTGGAGGGAATGATTTAAAATGGAGTAAATCCTAACACTGGGTGAGATATATACCACATTTATGCTTTAAGGGATAAAAGGATTCCTTTTAAAACTATTATTCTGATCTGATTCTGAGATACATTTTAAATAAATGGATTTTGAATAGCGTATTACCTAATTGTCTCAGTTGCCTAATGCAAAAGCTTGATTATGTCTCAGTTACAGTTTTACTAAACAAGAACTCATTTGGTTTTCAGCAGAGTGGTCAGTCTTGAAATTATGGCATGTATTTAGTCCATGGGATGATGACACTTTGTTTTAATACTGATTTACCAAAATATATTTGTTCCAATAAAAGTGCAAAAAGAAAGGTTTATTATTGCTGTGGCTATTGAAATCCAGTGCTTGTTCAGCTTAGTAGTAGTCTGCCAGTTTAAATATACTTTGTGCTGTTCACAAGGCATGGGTGTGCGCCTACTTACCCTTCAGATATTACATGATCATAGCATGACAGTAATCAAATACTGGTTTTGGTGCAACTTTTTAATAAACAAAATCAGGTCAAACTCTTGAAGAGACGATCAAATGTCTAGTAGATCATATGTTAAAGCAGCCTTTCTCAACCAAGGTGCCTTTTAGCATCTTCAGGGGTGCTTCAAACTATTTGCACAGTGTCATGTCTTTCCATGGTGCAGACAGGAATCTGAGGTGAAAGGGTAGGGACTTTGATATAAAATGGGAGCTTTGATGTAATGAGGAGGGCTCTGCTGTTAAAGGGGTGCTCCTGATGTTAAATGGAACTTCTGATGTGAAGGGGTTGGGGCTACTAATGTGAAGAGAGGTTTTTTGATGTGAAAAGAGCTCTTGATGTAAAGGGGGGGGGGGGGGTGGGCTCTGATGTGCAGAGGGCTCGTCATAACAATGGGTGCTTGTAATAGAAGGAGTTCTCAGATGTTAAATGAGCAGGCTCTGGTGTGAAGTAGGGCTCCAAGTATGAGAGGGAAGATTCTGATGTGAAACGAGGTCTCCTGATGTAAAGAGGGACTCTGATGTTAAAGGAAGGATTCTTATTTTAAAGTGGGCTTTTGATTTAAAGGGGAGACCCCATATTTTTGTGTGTTTTTTGCATGTAGCCCTCATATCTGGAATAAGAGTCTGGTATGACTTTTGGGAAGGCCACACATCATTTATATACATTATTACATTTACAATTTAGACTGGGGTGACTCGGGATTTTGCATAATTTTAAAGGGTGTCATGATTAAAAAAAGGTTGGAAAATGCTGTGTTAAAGGACACCTGTTGTTAAAAATATTGCATTCTGATAGCTGTCTGTGGTTAACGTTTATGTTTAGCAGTGTTCTAGTGACAACTCTACAATTTTGTATTTCTCATCACTTTCTGTCTCGGTGACAATGGTCGCCAGTAAAAATAGAGAGGATGAATCTCCCTAACACGTGGCAGTAATAAAAACTTGCAAGGGGTTATTTTAAATGTTTTTATTTATATTCTTTTCTCCACCTATACATTCAGATCCAGCTGTCCAGCAGAGGTGAGGTGACAGGAGCTGGAACAAACCATGACAGCGCCAGATAAATAAACAGTAACTTCTTACACTGTTATAGTTTGATCCATGTATTAACTGCATACAGTTAATAGCACATAGGGATAGTTGCCATTTTGTCATTAATTTCAATGTAACAGCTAAAAATGTTGAGTTATAGTCTAATTGTTAGTGCTCCCTTATTTTCTTGATGCATACTGTCAAAGTCCATGGTATGGTATCAGGTCATGCACAGTGTCATCTTCTCTGGTGTCTAGTGATTTGCAGTACCAATTCCCAAGTATATCTAGTTGTAGGAATAGCCCAGCTCCTTAGCATACAAAACCTGGGAATTTCTAAGCAAGACAACCTGTAGGAGCATTGTTAACACACTAGCGATAATGAGAATACGTGATCCCAAGAAGCCATGTTATTCCTTTTTGGAGATCTTCTGACATTGAAACATTTCCTGAGGAAGGATTGTTTAATTTTCCCTCAAGAGATGGCTGCATTCTGTTCACAGTTTGTTCATTAAAAGTAAATGTCACCCCTGTCCCCAGAAAGTGACAGTAACAACAGAACAAGTAGTGCTGTCCCTTATTTTGAATTACACCCTTTAATGGATAGAGTAGATCATCATTAAACTCTGTAAGTATAATTTCACACTATTTTCCTGATAATGGCTAACAAAGTACAACACATTACCACAATTTCTGTGTAACCAGCGGTTCAACTAAACGGCCATGTTTATTTATTGACAGCTGTGCTGGCCTTCGATGGACACAGTGTTGTTCTAGAAGAGATACCACATCTGAATGCTGTGGAGCTCATTGTAAATGGAGAGACTATATTTCAATGTAACATCAAAGAGCTTGAATTTGGTAAGGAAAATGCAATCATTTATTCAAGTGTAACTCCGCTTTTGTTGAGAAATAAACAATCCCCTCTGGGTGATTAATGTACATTGCAAGGATTTTAACAAACAGATTCCTACCTTTTTTCTGTTCTGAAGAAATAACTGTTTGTTCCATCATGTCCTTTCCACACTGATCCCTGAATGGGAGGGTCTGGGATCGTTATAATCACCTGGTGCACTTTCTGTGTTGCAATTAGCGATGGAGGGAACTCATTTCACCGAAGCCTGCTCAAAACTGTGACCGTCATTCTCTCCCTCCTGGCCGAATTAATTGCCACAGGCGCATTCCCTGCCTCATAGCTACATGTCACAAAGGGGTGAGGAATGCCCCGCCATTACTAATTAGGCAGGGAGAGGGAGGCTCACAGTTTTGAGTGGGCTTGGGCAAACATTTACACCAAGCCCCAGCTCATCACTAGTTCTAATAAGGAAAGTTGCAGTGTCAGCATCCCTTAGGTAGTGATTAACCCTTAAGTAGTATCTCAACAAAAATGAAATTGCCAGGGATGCCTAACATTTTTCTTGCATCTTAGTGCAGACATCTGTCAAAATCAGTCAGACAATCACAGAAGCAGCAAATTACATCTCTGAGAACGTTCTGCACACCAGTTGTGTACAGAACACCTCCTAGTCGCCAAATTGCATGGAATTGTTTGACAGATTTAGAAAATTACAGCTGCTACAGTTTTAAATGGAAACCTCTTACCCCACCGGTAAGAGGTCTAAAGGGGGTGGGAGGGAGTGACAATTTTTGCTGCTAGTCTAATGTGGTGCTGCTTTCTGCAGCATTTTCCTGTGAGTCTATGATGGATAAAAGACTTCCTCTGCTGTGTGGGCACTGGGCTGGTAAGTAGTCTGAAGGAACAGGAGGGAGTGAGCATGGATGCTGCTGGTCTGATGTCTCTACTCTCTCCAGCATTCTAGGTCTGACAACCAGTCGTTCATGCCCTGATGGCACAGAAAGTGGGTAAATGATACTGGCCTGGAGGAGGGAAAAAACCTTTAAGTGTTACTTAACCGCAACATAGACAAATCAGGTCCTGCCAGATAGGGTTGTGACATATAAATATAAAACATATCAATTAAGAATGACATGCCAATGCACAAGAACAGTAGCCAGCTTTGTAGTGCATTGGCAGGCCATTCAATTAAAATGTAATGCACACTAAGATGTGTGCGGCACCGCAGCACAACAAAGCGGAAAAGTGTGAGGAGACCTTACTGGGACTGTTATAGCATTGTAACACCATGTAAAATATAGGACACCTTGGGCACAGAGTGGAGGAAGAGTGAGTGTGGGTATGGTGCTTCAAACAGTAGGAGTGGCTTAAAGGCGCATATCTGTCAAAAATAAGTCAGGCAACTGGACTTGCTGTATTTTTCTTGAAGACGTTTCACTGGTCATCCAACCAGCTTTCTCAATTCAGAATTCTGAATGTTAGAATGGAATATTTTATTCACTACTAAGTTGCTTTAGTGTTTAGGCATTCAAATATTTATGAATGATATACGTGCATTTGAATGACAGTTTTTGGGTATAACATTTCATGTAAATTCTGTTGTAAAATAGCCTACATACAGAACACTTGTGGAAATTATATCATGTAGAGATTTGTTTACGTGCATTGTTTGTAATTGTCAACGCTGGAAGACATTTTTGCTTAGAACACATGCAGACGCTGCTTCCTGCATAGTAGTGCTGTACAATGTTGTACCTTGCTGATCCTTCTATATCATAGCAAGTCTTTCAGACTGTGTAACTGGAAACAACAGTCTTTCTGCAGTCTCTAATGATGTGAAACACTTAGTGCTCCTACTACCAAAGATTAAGTCATTTTTTTCCTAGGCCTTTGATCACATAAGGAAGCTCTGGAGACATTTTTTTGCTCCTGGCAAAACCAAGGTACTGTTTGGAATTTGCTAATGTGATTGTATGGCCAACCAGTTTATGTAAAGCATGAATTTAATTTAAACTAAACACATAGAAACAACCAGTGATCACTTCCTCTGTGCTGCAATTTTACTTTTGCAGGAGGTGACGGACTGCTGGACCCACTTTGTGAAGATGCAAGACAAGCTGTGCTGAGGGCTTACTAATAAATATGTTTTATCTGCCTGCTACCCGAAGTTCCCCATCTAACTCTATAACCAATTGCTTTCCAGAAACTAATGTGCTGAATTTACAATTACATTTGGGAATAAAAGTAAGCTTTTATAAACACTTTTCTAGTGCAGTGATATTTTGGATGTACGGATGTACGCCGGAGAACCTTTTACCATACACAGAACTTCAAAATGTCAGAATTTCCATCATTGGTAAATCACATAGATCGGACTCAGAACTCACTGTGCAAATGTCGGAACTACAAATTGCCAAATTACCGCAATGAACTTTTAAGATGTGTACTGTCATCTTGCCCTTGCAAGCATTATTTATTGATTTTCTTCTTTTTATGTTTTTTTTTGCTCAATTTTCCAGTACAATTTGTATGTTCAGTAAAATTTGTATAAAACAGGTTTTTTTTTTGTTGGTTTTTTTACTGTGCGAGTAGTAAAAATATGGAATTCCCTTCCACAGGCAGTGGTATCCGCTGATGGCGTAGATAAATTTAAGAAACTTCTAGACGAGTTCGATCAGTCACTAAATATACAAGGATATGGGAAGTGTTAAATATATATATTATATATATTCAACCTCACCTACTATGTCACTGTACCCCTAATAGTCCAGATTCAAGCTCTTTTGCATTCCCAAAGCTCTGCTGAAGGAGATCCATAGGAACTCCTGAAACATGTTGGTTTCCTTTATAATAAGACAAATAAAATTACTCTGGACAACTAACCCTGAAGTGGCATTCTCTCATGTTTATACCATATTGTTACAAGAACCTTGTTGCGGCTTCTGTACGCAGAACTATTCAGGTGTCAAAAACTCATGCAACCAGAATCGTAGCAATAACAAAGGAGCCAGCCACTCTAATTCCACCATATTGTGACTCTATCACAGTAATCTACTTGTACACATAGTTACATAATTTCATAGTTGTTGAGCTTGAATAAAAACACAGGTTCATCGAGTTCAACCGATGTAAATGTGTGTGTATGTGTGTGTATGTGTTACTAAGAGAGCCTGTACCCCTGAATATCATGCTCTCTGAGGAACGTATCTAAAAGATTCTTGAATTAGTCAATACTCTTAGTTGAATCCAACGTCTGTGAAGACAGTTCCACAATTTTACAGCTCTCACATTAAGGAATCCCCATCGCAGTTTAAGATTAAACCTATTTTCATCTAATTTCAGATGGTGTCTTCTTGAGTCTGGCCACTGAAATGGTTATACCAAGAACATAGCTGCTGCTGCAGCTGTGTTCTTGGTATTAGTGTAAACAGCCGGCGATTGCTGTGAAGATACAAGCGATCCACCAACTATATAGCTGCAAGATCGCTTGTACCAATCAGCGAAGTGTGCTCTCCGCTGCCGGCTGCCCCAGGCTCCGCTGTCCCCCGTGCGGGCCCGGGACCGGCACAGCAGCCCTCCCTTTAAAGATCTCTCCTCCGATCACTGGACCGGAAGTGATGTGTATTACATCACTTCCGGTGTCACTGTTTACATTCTCCGGTTCATAGAGCCAGGACAAGAAGCTGATTAAGCAGATCTCTGCTTCATGAGCTTCTCTAAGGTCCCTTGGGGACATTAGGGGTCTGAAAGACCCCTGACGTCTCCATAAAGAGGACCTTGTCCAAATACCTCACCGCACTCCTTACCGGATATCCCAGAACAATTGGTACTTGTAATGACTGTGGATGGCGCCGCTTCCAGTAAAACGTGAACATAGATGTCACCAGCAAACCAGGATAGAGCTTGATTATCAGTACAAATCCATTTCATTGATAGATGTCACTCAGATAAGCGCTTTGGGGGTCACACAGAGTCCCCTTCATCAGGCTCAGAAATTACATCTATCAATAAAATGGATTTGCACTGATATTAAAGCTGTATCCTGGTGTGCTGGTGACATCTATGTTCAAGTTTCATAAAGAGGGTACCTTTCATATCCACTTTGCTCTTACATAGGGAGCTTGTTAGCCCCCTATGTAATGGCAAAGTTAGTGTAAAAAAAAAATTAAAGTAACAACAAAAATTGAAAAAAAAAATTTTTCAAGTCCCCCGCCCCCCACATGCATGCACATACATATGCAAACACGTGTCACTGCACCAACGTGCACAAATGAAAATTGTGCAACACATACCGCCGCAAATGTCTTTCAGCATGACAATGACCCAAAACATACCGCCAAGGCAACAAAGCAGTGGCTCAAGAAGATGCACATTAAAATCCTATAGAACATTTATGGAGGGAGCTGAAACCTTAAGGATTTAGAGAAGATCTGTAAAGAAGAGTGGACCAAAATCCCTCCTGAGATGTGAGCAAACCTGGTAACCAACTACAAGAAACGTCTTACCTCTGTGCTTGCCAACAAGGGTTTCTCCACCAAGTACTAAGTCATGTTTTGCTTGGGGATCAAATACTTATTCTACTCACTGAACTGCAACTCAATTTATAACATTTGTATCATGTGTTTTTTCTGGATTTTTGGTTGATATTCTGTCTCTATCATTTAAAATACACCTATGAACAAATTATACACCTTTCATTTCTTTGTAAGTGTGCAAAATTACAAAATCTGCAGGGGATCAAATAATTATTTTCCACGTTGTATTCACCCGATGTGACCCCGTCTTTTATATTTTACAAAAAAATTGGGTATTATATTCTGTTTCCGTGCATTAAATTTCAGTTTAGTGTATTCTATCCTAAAAATACTTGTTTGATAAACATTTGCGCAAATACCGTGCAACATAAAAAATTGCAACTAGCATTTTTTTTATATTCTACAGGGCCTTTTGGTAACTGTCAGATTCAATGGTTTATAAATACACCCCTAAGGGCCCATTCACACCAGCCACTGCACTACTTTGCACAGCAGCTGGTGTACGGTGCCCGGCACAATGCGGATGTGCCGACCTTGGCACATCACACGGTTTACTTTTTTTTTTAGAACTTTATTGAAATGTCACAATTGACATTACATTAAGTTCAACAGACAGCAGGACGCAAGGTGGTTGTAACACGTCTTATCTGAAATAAAGTACCTTATACAGTACTTATTTCAGCTCACACCACAAGCGTTGCCATGGTGTGAGCAGAGACCATCCATGACAAGGCAAATTGCCTACTCTTCGTTAGGACTGCACTGGAAAAAGTGGCCAGCGCAGTCCCAATGTATATAGTGTGAAACCACGCTTTGGGCCGGTTCACACCATCTGTGTTTGGGCTCTGCTGCCCGTTTATTCCAGCGCTGCCCCAAAGCAACACAAGGCAAATTGCCTTGTAATGGATCGCTTCTGTTCACACCATCGCTTTTGGGTGCTAAAAAAAAAGTACAACAGGTAGTACCTTATTTTAAGCGCACCACAGTGAAATGCGGTACAGCCGCATCTTGGTGAGCCTATAGAACTGAATGAAATGTCACTTGTGACAAATCAATAAAGTTCTACCAAAAAAAAAAAGTGCAATTGCAGCTCAATCAAACATGCAGTTGAGCGCAGCTGACAGTATGAATGTACCCTTAGTGTTTCCAAAAGCTTGTACCTGAGAATGTATTCAGTTAGCAACATGAAAGGTATCGCTTAGATTTTAACTTTCCTACCTTAGTTTAAACTGCTTTTCCAACATTCTAGTGACAGCATAAAGTCTGCTCCTCCCTGCAGCTTCTTTGACATAACATTACTCACACACAAAGAAAGGATATAGGATTTCATTCCAACATACACAGACATGAGTAAAACATTGTAGCTAGCAATTGATTTAAATAATGTGCCAGTGGTAGCAAATGTATCTCAGCAAAGCAAGATTTGCTACGTGTTTTGTGTCTCAAACATAGATTGTCCCAATCCCAGTATAAAAGCATAATTAACATTGTCTCGACAGCACAACACAATATGAAGCACATTTTCTTCAGTGTAATTTACAACTTGTCAGCAAGCAACAAAAAGTATTATTAAACATATTTTTCAAGTTTCCTTCTCCAGAAGGAAAATGCAACTGTAGCTCATGCAATTTTTCTTGCTGGTAATTATTTAAAGCCTCCACAAAGTAATTACCCTATAAAAAAGTTGTTGATGTGACAGAGGTTCTCTTTCCAAGTCCGTTGATAGATTTACATTGCTGTACAAGCTGAAAAAGTTTGAATAGAACTTTTACTAACACAGTTCTGCGTATTTGAACCTTAAGGGAAGGTGAGATGCTGGCAGGAGATGCTGATCGGCTGAATAACTCATCTTTCTAAAATCTCAAGATCCAAGTCTGGTTACTATAATTCTTGAAATAAAGTTGAAATGAGTTTTGTTGTTCCTGTACCATTTCTTTTTTTTTTTTTATGTATTTAATGATTTTTTTTTTAAATACATTTTTATAAAAAAATTTAAGAGAAGGAAATAATTTTAACAAACAGTAAGAGAGTGTAAGTTACAAATTCAGAAAATATAACAAATTTTCCGCAAATAGTCAAAGCAATGTAACCTGCACAATTTCCAGTGTAGACAAAAAAAAATACTATAGAATCAAACAATTCAACCCAATGTAGAAGAAGTATACCACACTATCCAAGGTTTCCAGTTTATGTCACATTTGAGTAAGTTAGAATTGCAAAAAGCTATATTTTATTTATAATTATAATGTAGATGTACCATTTGTAGAGCTTGGTATATATCAAGGGAGTCATAGGATTTCCAGTTTCTCGCCACCATCAATTGAGCTATTAGAAACACGTGTGCAGCTATTATTCGAAAGGGATGAGGAACATCACCTATTCCCGAATTCAATAAAGCTAAGGCAGGGTCAGGTCCTATCACCACCCCTGTAATCTTAGATACTATAAAGAAGAGTTGGGACCAAAAAGGGGAAACTTTGTTACAAGACCAGAAGATATGGAGCAAGGTTCCAACCTGGCCACACTGTCTCCAGCACAGGTTAGAATGGTCAGCTGAAAACTTCGCCAATCTATAGGGTGTCAGGTACCATCGGAACATCCATTTCTGGAAGATTTCCCACAGG